AAGAAAGAAAGAAAGAAAGAAAGAAAGAAAGAAAGAAAGAAAGAAAGTTAATTTTCTTCAAAACACCAAATGACAAAAAATAATGATTGGAAACTAATCAAAGAGAGAAGCAACTTGGAATTAAGGAGAAATTTCCTGTGAGGACAATTAACCAGTGAAACAGCTTGCTTTCAAAAGTTGTGGGAGCTCCAATACTGGTTTTTAATGACACTAAACAGTCACTTATCTGAAATGTTATAGGTTTTCCTGCTTGAGCAGGGGGATGGACTAGAAGACCTTCAAGGTCCCTTCCAACTCTATTCTATTCATGTTAAATCTAATAAAGTTTAAATGCCCAGAGAAAGAGTAATATCTTTATAGATTTCTTAAATATTGAATGGCAATTGTGCATAAATTGAGAAGGGACTATGCTTCTTATCAGTGGTGGGATTCGAATTTTTTTACTACTGGTTCTGTGGGTGTGGCTTGGTGGGCGTGGCAGGGGAAGGAGACTGTAAAATCTCCAGTCAGATTTCAAAATTTCCGCTACCAGTTCTCCAGAACTGGTCAGAACCTGATGAATACCACCTCTGGTTCTTATCCTGAGGACAGTGCAAGAGAAGAGTTAATGTACAGATGGAGCATTAGATATCATTATGAAAAAGCCATCACTTACAAATCCAGAGACAAGTGAGAATCATGGTGCACTCCCCAAATATAAACTAGCTCTTTCGGGACCCCATGACCCCATTTAAATCAAATTGAATTTTATTCATTAATCCACCAGCCAACAATATCCTCATCTTCTTTAGATGCCATTTGATGTGTTCTTATTCAACCTGTTATCAGATACAAGTAGACCACAACTTACAACCATAACTGAACCCAAAATTTCCATTGCTAAGCAAGGCAGCTGCTGAACTGAGTTTGTCCCCTCTTTATGACCTTTTTGGCTGCAGTTGTTAAATGAATCATTGCAGTTGTTAAGTAAATCTAACTTCCCCTATTGACTTGGCTTGTCAGAAGCTTCTGGGAAGGTAACCAATGGTGATCACATGACCCCAAGACTATGTAACCATCACAAATACTTGCCAGTTGCCAAATACCTGATCATGTGACCATGAGAGATGGTCATAATTATGAATAGAATAGAATAGAATAGAATAGAATAGAATAGAATAGAATAGA